GATGAACGACTTTTTGAAATAGAATTCAAAAAATAATCAATCATTTTCTTAAAAATAAAGGGTGGGTTTAAGTTTATCCAACAAAAAATGTTGAGCTCCAATACCTGTGTTTCTGCATTCCAATAGTCTTTTGTAATTTCCAAATTTGAAAATAAATACACTAACACTAAATGTTGTGTATTTCACAGAACAGCCTATCCCATTAGATCTATAAACGTTTGTAACTTCTGTTGCTTTATAACTTAAATTACACTAAGCTACAGGCCTACTACTACCAGTAAAACTATCTTGAAAACATAACAGTTAATAATAATAGTAACACAGAACGACTATAAATAAATTACTATATCTTTAAAACTATTTGTCTTAGCTAGTAACAAAATTTCCCAAGACTTGGCAAGAGACACACTGAGAACTAGTTCAAGTTTTATTCAAGAAAATTTCATTATCCACAAAAACTTGAAAAAGAGTGTCTACTGAATTCGAAATTGTCTACCAGAAGTATGAAATTTGGAACTTCTGAAAACAACCATTATTAGAGACGAGTTTACAATAAATTATGAACATCATTCTAAAACATTATAATTTAAATGTAGATTTTGATCAAACTGTGCAGTATCCTCATTTAAAATTAAATTATTTATGTATATCACAATCAGTATAAATATAATGAAATATTGTGACACTAAAAGTTAGTTCCCTTTTAGTAGTTTTTCATATTAATTATTTTATGCTTTGTTGTTGTTTTTAATAATCACCCCATACATAACAAATATGTCGTCGATGAACAAAAAAGAGCTACTAATACTGTAGTAGTAGTAAAAACTAAGTCAAACTTACAGTAACTCCATAACGAAGAGCAAGTCCTTGTAATGTATCCGTTGGTTGAATGATATGTTTAATACACCTTTCTCTTCGTATTGCATAATTTGATGTACTTCCATATTTTGTGTGATTCTTAACAAAAGATACAAGCAAGGCAGTTTCGGTTTCAAATGAATCAAATCCCCCATCACATGCCGCCATTTTGGCCTTCGGCGTTTGACTATTACCCGAAGTATCAACTTGATTATAAATCACATGAAATAGTTATCGTGTGCTTAAATTTCTGCTCTTAGAATAATTGTTCAATGTAAAACTTTTGTTTTATATTGTCGCATTCAAGAAGACGGGGAAGATGGAATTATATTTTATTTTTAGTTAGTTTACGTTATTTATTTATGAACAAGCTATAAATAATTGTAACTTTCAGAACCAATAAAAAATTGCAAGTCTCTGAAATATTTTACCTCTATTTGACTCATCATGTTCAAAATACAACTTAACGTTTCAATTTCATAGAATTCAAAGTGCAAGAATCACTCATCCCTACCTGCACCGATTTTCGTACGAATGGTCACAGATTATTCGTTTAAAACGCATATTATGCAATATTAATAAGTAATCAATAAATGAATATTTAGCTACACTTATTTTAGTGTGTACTGCGGTATACGAATATATCACGTGTTTCGATTTATGTTAAATTTAGTCTTTATACTGAAATGTGCAGGTTTCATATGAAACGTGGCTGGTTAAACTGTTAAGTTGATATTGTTAATAATACCGTTACCACCCGGGGAGAATGTTGCTTATTAAAACCCGTCTTGTAAGGATGTCGAAAGTAGTGTCCAAGAAATGTTCTAGAGGTTATGGCCATGTCTAGGAGGTTATAAGAATGATCAACACATGGGAGCACATGTCGCTCTCAAGAAATGCGAGGTTTCTTGGAAATTAAAGAACCTTGAATTTGGTGATCAGGCCTTGAACGTAACTGAAGATAGTGTAGCAGAACGTGGTGGTCAGTAGTCAGTTCAGTGAAAGCGAAGATCTGAAGAAAGTAAACTGCAAGTTCACCCACTATGGTTGTGTTTAGTGTTAAATAAATATTGTTTATTTTGTATTTCACTATGCACCCAGTTTTTATTTTGCATTGAATCATTTAGTAAGAAATTTAGTATTTCTCCATAATCAACATTTGAGTGAATGTTCTTTATTTAGCGGCTCTGTCTGATAGCTCTAATGAATATTCAGTTCACCTGAATATATCACAGTACAAGCCCTTCCTCCCCCAGTGACATGTCTGATATCTCACAGTTATATTGCTAAAAATTTGATTTCGATACCTGCGGTGGGCAGAGCACAAGCAACTTATTGTGTTGCTTTATGCTTAACAACGAACAAGGTCAGTCATAATTTCTAAGTATAGCGTTCTACGTCTCATGCTGGTCTCAGAAATTACTTCATTCATTGCTAATCGCGCAGAGTCTAATGATTATCACTGCAATTTACATCCTAGCAAACATCTGCAAAAGACGTTGAGATCAATCTCAGGCCATTCACCTTTACAAATTGCCCTCAGACCCTCTATTGTACGTTGGTGTACGCCTTCAAGACTATGCTCAACTGTTTCACTGCCACGTTTATAGATAAAGGAATATCATAATATCAGGTTTGTTTTTAGATAGACAATCTTATATTAATTCAGCCCGGCCCCCCAGTGGCACAGCGGTATGTTTGCGGACTTACAACGCTAGAAACCGGGTTTCGATACCCGTGATGGGCAGAGCACAGATAGCCCTTGTGTAGCTTTGTGCATAATTAAAAACAAACAAAAAAAAACAATTAATTCAGCTTGTAGCTTTGTGTTATTGTGACATATTCTATCGTTAGGCGGGTTCTTTTGGATTATTTGTTAAAAATAATGCCAATTCCACCCCACTTAACGATTACGCCCATTTCAATACAAGTTGTAGGGACTAAGTTCAAATACAACGTTTCAAAAGAAATTCTGAGACTAATGGTACATAAGCATAACTTACTTATAAACCTACTTGTAGAATCCATTGGCTAAAAAAACCCATCAAATAACCGAATAAAATAAATAGACAGGTTGATTTTCACTTCTAATACTGAACAGGTTCAATCATTAACAGCTCATTCATTACTCATTGTTTCCCTGCTTCGCTTTACACGTATTTATACTGTTACGTCTCCGTTTGTTAGTTGATTTTCCGTAACTTCGTTTCGACGAAACTTTAGCGACACAAGTCCTTTCTTAATAAAACTGGTTTATTCTTTCCGAATATAACTTTACCGATACACTTATTTTCAACAGTTGCTCTATAACAAACGCTATAACAACGAACTTTAACAATACTTTCTGACTGCAGTTCAATTACTCACTACCTACACACATTGTTATCCCGTCACGTTGTGAGCGTCCTATATATATACCAGACTAACATATATCTAGTAAATGCTAGGGCATTCACGAAGGAACAAGATATTTCTAGAAACGTGGCGTGACACTAGTCCCGTGACCTCGCTGACGCAACAATACCATACCTTTGTTTCGATATATTACAGGAAACTTCTTGACTCTTAACTTTAAAGATCTTTCTAAATCTTTACGTCAGCTACCATTTAGCAAATATCTAAATCGAAACTATAATAAAAATATAGCTTAAAATATTATCTACGCTCAGATAATTCCTCCCACAGTTCTTGAGCTAGCAGTATCGAACTTGGCAGGTCACCTACGTATGATGAGATCTAAGAGCATGTCGCTGAACTAGAATCTGTCGTCCCATTTGTGTTACTTGTCCTTCTAGTGCTCTAGATGGCACTATAACTGAAACGAGCAGAACCAAACTTGGTGCACGTACTTAAATACTAAGAGCGAGTGCTTAATAGTGCTTTATTATCGAGTATGGCCCCCTTGGTTAGCTATAGAAGTAATCTGACATAATGATATTGTTGTTGTTTGTTATTAAGCACAAATCTACACAAAGGGCTATCTGTGCTCTGCCCACCACGAGTATCGAAACTCGGTTTCTAGTGGTATAAGTCCACAGACATATTGCTGTGTAACATTGATGTAAAGTAGTAGGGTTAACATAGAAGGACAGTCGACGGCAAAAAAAAAAACAACAACAAAAAACGACTACACAGGTGAGTGATATATTTCTTGTTTTTCTTATCTATTCTTTACTTATTATCATAAAGTAACTAAAGTATAAAACTTGGAAACTTTTAGGCTAGATAAGGTTAAATTAAGTAATATAAATAAATATAATGATAATAATAATAAATTTTTTCTTCGAGGTACACTCGCTAGGACTAACAGTAACAGCTCACGAGTAGAATGAGCTTTACATTTATTATGGTGGGAGTTTTAAAAATCACGGACCTAAAGGCAATAAAACAATAAAATTTAATTATAAATAAATAGTTGTATAAGGTTAATAAGTTTAAAACTATTTAGTGTAAAGAAATGTTGTTTTATGCTACAATTTGAAGTAATTCTAGAAAGAAAAAATGAGAAAAAATGATTTATTTTGTATTTTTTTATGGTGATTACGAGGTCGTAAAATTGATCTAGTCTGCATTGAGTAAGAACAGAACAAATAACAGATAAAATATGAAGATTTATCTGCGGCCCTGTATAATAGTACACATAAATAACAACAACTTGTCAGTCAGTAGTGCAAAGTGATTGATCATTTGAATATATACCGTACAGAAACACAGATATAATCGCACACAGAGACTGTTTCTTTATGAAGAAGTCAACAAGACAAAATAAAAAAATAATTTTAAATCAACAAAACAAATCTTGGTTTCAGATTACTATTCTTTCTTTCATGACGTCTCGTATCATTTATTGAGTTAATTGACATTAGGCCATCTGTTAATTTTTTTAAATGTTCCCGTGTTTTTCTTCTAAAAATGACCTCATTATAATAATTGATACTCGTAATCGTAATTATTTACAAATATAAAATCGAATTACAAAAGTGATAATCGCTTAGCATTAGTGTACGTATATATCTACATTGTGTTTCTTTCGTAGCGGGTAGAGCGACACCACGTGGTATAGTATCATTAGACCGTAATGAGAGCAGATCATTCAAAATATTTTTCTGTTTGCAGAATAAATTGTTGACCTATTTCCTGTAAGATATAAGATTAATTACAAATTATATATGTTTACTTAATTTAGTTCAAGGAGATGCGTGCTGCTAGCGCAAGTTTACAGAATAAAGAAGGGAAAAGCCGGGACTTCGTAACGTCTTACAACTATCATTGTGAGATTTATAACGTTTGTCCTCATCGAACAATTCTTTCAAGCGTCAAAGGCCAGGTGTTGGACTTGGAAACTGATAGGCTAAAAATTGAAGATTGGCCACCATTTTGCAAAGCTTTAGGTTTTAATAGAAATTTAAAGTGGATATCCCTTAAAAGTAACTACTTCAAAAACCATCCAGAATTTAGAGGTAATTTATTGAATAGAAATAAAGTTAAACAATATAAACGAATATATATGCCATTTATAAATTAGACTATATTATGCATGTTAAGTCCTGTGAAATTACTTAAATTAAAATTTGTCTCAGTATCACTCCACTTGTGAGTCTTAAGTTAAAGAATATGAGTGTCTCCAGAACAATGACAATACTAACACTGGTTATTACTAACAGTTGTGCTACCTATGCAATTACACATCAGTAATTCATATAACTATCACTTCTTAGACACAAATCTAGAATGGGGAGCTTAACTACTGTGATGTAGGTGTTGATTGTAGGGGGGGGGTGTATGTGTCCTCCACTCTTATACATTGACAAAACTAGTTGTACATATTTTTTTTATATACATTCAGATGAAACATTATATGTATGATAGTAACTAGATGTACTTCTGCAGGATCCCTGAAAGTGTTCTGTTTCAAGAGTAAATACAACCAAAATTAAGAATAATAACAAATTTTAATTCCTGCTTTCAGGTTTCAACATTATAACCACCAGTAAGTAATCCAGTAAAACTTTTAGGTTTCAACATTATAACCACCCGTAAGTAATCCAGTAAAACTTTTAGCTTTCAACATTATAACCACCAGTAAGTAATCCAGTAAAACTTTTAGGTTTCAACATTATAACCACCAGTAAGTAATCCAGAAAAACTTTTAGGTTTTAATATTATAACCACTTGCATGTAATCCAGAAAAACTTTTAGGTTTTAAGATTATAACCACTTGCATGTAATCCAGAAAAATATTTAGGTTTTAACATTATAACCACTTGCATGTAATCCAGAAAAACGTTTAGGTTTCAACTATAATTCTACAATTCAATAGCCAAACAGAAAGGAGAAGTTTTTATGAAACTTCTGCCTTTTAGTGTTGTTAGTAAAATATTACATGTAAATGTTTTTCTTGGGTATTAATTTTAATTAAGTCTGAATATTGAGTACATTTCCATGAACCATGTAATCTTAATTTACAAGAGTCCAAAACCCAAACATGTTGTATTTACATGAAGTGTGGTAGCGTATTTCATACCAGTAAACACTGAACAGTCTTTGATCTTGTGCATTTAGAAAGTTTTCTTGGATTTAGTGTTTTAGAAAAGTTACTAGACACATTTGAGGTTAAAATGGTACTCCATCTACACACGTTTTTCCATGTGATACAAAAGTTTTATTGTAACTTAAGTGCCATTTTAAAAGCTCTACTGTGATGAGATCCAAAGATAATTCAATACTTGTCAGGTGATGAATATCTTTGTAAAGCAGCTATTAGGCCATTTTCAGTACCCAATTTACCTGGCTCTGTGGTTGCATTTGAGAAACCTCATGCAACAAGGATCTTGTTCTTATTGTGTTCATCTCTATTCACATGTCATGTACTTTAAAGCAGACTGTTTTACTGTAATGTTTTACACCTGGTGAATCATGTTAGTGGACATGAGTTAATGTGATTGTAATGTTTCATGCACTAATACGTTATTTGGTGCATGTTTGTGTTTTACACCTAATGAACCACATTTTACTTAGTGTACCTGTGTTTATTCAATTTCACTGTAATATTTTACATCTGATGAACCACATTTTACTTAGTGTACCTGTGTTTATTCAATTTTACTGTAATGTTTTACATCTGATAAACCACATTTTACTTAGTGTACCTATGTTTATTCAATTTTACTGTAATATTTTACATCCGATGAACCACATTTTACTTAGTGTACCTATGTTTATTCAATTTCACTGTAATATTTTACACCTTATGAACCACATTTTACTTAGTGTACCTATGTTTATTCAATTTCACTGTAATATTTTACACCTGATGAACCACATTTTACTTAGTGTACCTGTGTTTATTCAATTTTACTGTTATGTTTTACATCTGATGAACCACATTTTACTTAGTGTACCTATGTTTATTCAATTTCACTGTAATATTTTACATCTGATGAACCACATTTGACTTAGTGTACCTATGTTTATTCAATTTCACTGTAATATTTTACACCTGATGAACCACATTTTACTTAGTGTACCTATGTTTATTCAATTTCACTGTAATATTTTACATCTGATGAACCACATTTGACTTAGTGTACCTATGTTTATTCAATTTTACTGTAATGTTTTACATCTGATGAACCACATTTTACTTAGTGTACCTGTGTTTATTCAATTTTACTGTAATGTTTTACACCTGATGAACCACATTTTATTAGTGTACCTGTGTTTATTCAATTTTACTGTAATGTTTTACATCTGATGAACCACATTTTACTTAGTGTACCTATGTTTATTCAATTTTACTGTAATATTTTACATCCGATGAACCACATTTTACTTAGTGTACCTGTGTTTATTCAATTTTACTGTAATGTTTTACATCTGATAAACCATAATATTTTCACTCCATGTTATATTGCTGTCTTCACTAAAGTTCATATTGAAGTTTATAGAGGTATTACAGAAAACATTGTATAATATATGTGGTAAAAGGTTAGGATAGTTTAATACATAATATTGTTATTTTATTTATATATATATATATATGTGTGTGTGTGTGTATACATATGTTTCTATGTCTGTATAGGAGATTCAGTTAAATTTCAACTTCTTCAGTCAGCAAATAAACTGATCAAATTGCCTGCTGTTCTGAGGGTGTCAGTTCTCGACAGTCTCTGTCAGAGTTTAGTGAAATGTTTAAATCAGATTGAAGAACTAGTTGGGTTGGAACTGGTAGGACTTCCACTTGCTGATCAACAAATAACTGATTTAACTAAGGTAAGAGTAATTTATTAGTAACTTAAATATATGATTTAACTAAGGTAAGAGTAATTTATTAGTAACTTAAATATATGATTTAACTAAGGTAAGAGTAATTTATTAGTAACTTGAATATATGATTTAACTAAGGTAAGAGTAATTTATTAGTAACTTAAATATATGATTTAACTAAGGTAAGAGTAATTTATTAGTAACTTAAATATACGATTTAACTAAGGTAAGAGTAATTTATTAGTAACTTAAATATATGATTTAACTAAGGTAAGAGTAATTTTTTTATAAGTTTTTTATTAAAGTCACTTGTATGTTTTACTTGCTAATCGCCATTTCTCAGATTTCTTTGAGTGAAGACTCTGACAAGTTTTAACTTGCTAACTACATATATGAAAAGTTAGTGTGAAACATGTGTTTAGTATAATGTCAGAGTAAATAATGTATTCAGCTGTTTTGGAATTATATAGAATTTGATATTTTCTGATGGGGTTTGATGTGTTGGGTCCTAGCTCCTTACTCATAATGTTCACGAGCCTTGACTTAATGAAAATGACCAAATAATCTACTCAACAAATGTTTTATAGAATGAAGTTGTAAATGAATGTTACTTTCTCAGGTGACCTTATTAATAAACCTGGTTGTGTAGCAATATAGAAAAATGTTCTACGTCAGTTTTTATTTCAATATTTACACTCCATCACCAAACATAGACAGTCCTTAAACCACTGAGTAAGTGAAACACACGGATGTAGTATCCTTTACATTGCAGAGAGAACAATTTAAATCTTTCTGTTTAAAAGTGGATTTTTTAAAAGTTGCAGTAGTGCTTAAATCTATATTATCATAATAGACAAACTGGAAATGAATGAAGCATTTCTAGGGATATTATTTACATGTACCTGCTTATAATGATGTGTTTACTTATTTTACTGTCCCAAGCTTGTTATGTGTAAGAACTGGTTGTTGAAAGAAAAGGAGACAATGCTTTAGCTTCTGTACTGAGACTTTCTTCTGTAGAGAAACTCAAACATCTCTTTTTTTTCTTTCAACCTTTTTCTTAAACCTGCTATGTCTATTCTGTCTAAAGTTCTACTGAAACAACATCCCAAATGTATTATTTTCAGTTATCTCATGTTGTTTCTTAGCATTAAAAATATATTTTATGTTAATTTTTATAATTTAAGATAGATCTTATTCATTATTTTGGAACTTGTTCTATAGTATTTGATGTTATATGGTAACTTTTAAATATTGATTTCTAATTAACTTTGATTCCAGGCTTTCCAAAGTGCTGGTTGTCTTCGACATATCTCTTTATCACACTGCACTGTTGGAAAAGGGGGAATAGAAGGTTTGTATAATCTATAATGTTTACCATTAATAGACTATATATATATATGTTTGAACATTAATAGACTATATATATATATGTATGAACATTAATAGACTATATATATATATATATATGTATGAACATTAATAGACTATATATAT